GTGAAGACTGCACAAAGCTGAAAATATTTACTATGTGACTCTTCAAGAGAAAGTTTGCCACTCCTGGCTTTAGAGGATTGAATTCCTTTGCAATTCAGGAGTGAAGGGGGACAAAACAAATAAATAAAATCCCTTAAAGGAACTCTGTAGGACAGAGTAAAACGTAAGGCATGCAAAGGGCCACTACGTTGGGGGTGATGAGGAGACGCCCTGGGGGCCGGGTGAGCTCCTGCAGCAGCCGCTCCGGGGGTACACAGGGGGATCTGGAAAAACCCCCACCGACCTCCCAGGACCTGGTTTTCTGGTGGTTTTCCCTTCATTTTAGCATCTATTCTTATGCTCATCTGGTTTAAGTGTCTCTAAACAGGCACATAATAAAGTGTGTTTGGGGCCATCTGGGTATTTCTGGGAGACACAGAGAGGGGTCACGGCCATGTCCTGGCCTCTGTGGTCTCAGGAAGTCAAGAGCTGCATCTCCGGCCTCCTCAGGGCCACTGGGCAGGTGTTTCTGTTTGCTTGTTGTTCTTCTCCTTCTTTACGTCCTTGCATCCTGGGAGGGTTCTAGTGCGCGCCCTGTGGGCTCCCTGCGCCCCGCTGCTGCGCTCTGGGTAAGTCCCTCCAGGGAACCCCAGAGCTCTCCGATGGTAAGGCAGACGGACGGGCAGGGTGGCCTGGGGGGCTCAGCCTGTCCACCCCGGGATTCCCGGGCGGTGGGGCCTGGTTTTCTAGGGGCCGGTGCTCAGCAGGTGCGCCTCCGGCTTGACAGCAACAAGCCAGCTGTCCGTCCCTCTGGGCCTCCCGGGACCCGGGGTGCCGGGGTCTCACCTCCCAGAGCAGACCCACCCGCAGGAGACGCGGGCCGGGCGCCTGAGGGTCTGGCAAGCTGTCCCCCTGGCTCATGAGCTGTTTCCGGTATTTTGAAGGCATAATGAAAAAGATACATTTGTCCAAACACTTTGCAAGTGAAAAAAATGCCATTTCTTCACTTATGACCTGGGATCGTTAACAGCTGAGTGACATGAAGGGGAGAGGGTGTCTGCCTCTGCCGAGTTCCCACCGAGTGTCAGCACCGCAGGACAGACATCACTCCCGCTGTGTCTGCAGGTGAGGACACAGAGCCTCAGAGAAGCCACCCGGCCCGCCCAGGGTCCCCCAGCTCGTGGCTGCAAAACTGGCAGAACTCACATTCACACAGTCCGCGGACTCCACAGCTGGTTCTTCCTTGACGTCAGGTTTCCTCATCCTTCCCTGAGTTCAGAGCTTGGGCTATGGGCTGCGTGACACCGAGTGTAAAACAGGGAAATGTCAGTAGATGTTCGGTAGAAAACTCGTTCAAAACATGAGGCCCATGGAGAGAGGAAATAAGAGGATCTGGTGCAGAAAACGCTGGCGTCACCTGGAGATCCCTTTCCTTATGGACAGCATTACACTATGCGGCTCCCTAACGAACAGTCCTGCTTGAAAGAGAGGAAATGGGTCCTACACGGGACAGCGATCTAGGCTGAGGAGCCAGGAAAGGGAGACAAGAGTGATCTGATCAATGCCAGGGCCTCTCACCGACTCTGGGCCCGGGAGAGTGTATTCTATGGGTCTGCAGCTCAGAGTGGCAGCGAATGTTTATATTTGAACTGTGTTGGTATTTTTTAATAGTCTCCAAATATTCGTGAATTAATAGGCCTAATGTGTGCACAAAGATGTGTTGAGGGCTCTAAAACTCTGCCGAGGACTGTGGTCATTTCTGCACAGACTTGTCGGGTAAGAGAGCCTGTCTGTGTTCTATGTTCTTTCGTGTGATCATCGGTCAGGTGCAGCCGTAAGAGGAGGCACAGGAAAGACTGAGGGAAACACAGTTTATCATATTCACGTGTCCTAGAAACAGGAGGCATGCGGTGCCCACAGGACCACATGGGAGGCATCCCGTTGGCCAGGAGTAAGGCGAGCTCCTCAGCCACGGCCTGGACGGGCAGGGCGGGTCCGGGTGAGCAGCTTCAGGCTGGCTGGTTGGGGACGGTCAGTAGGTCGGTCTCTGGTTGCCTGTTGACCAGCCGTGGGATGGTCAGGGCAGGGAGGTGTCGCCCCGGGGGTGGTGAGGCCCAGCTGGAGGGGTAGGGCTCCGATCGGTCAGGTGCGTGAAGGCGTGCTCCCAGCTGAGCCCTTCGCCATCTCTGAGAACTGGCCGGTCCAGGGAGGGGCTTTCTCTCCCCAGCCAGAAAGGCTTTTTATGATGTCAAAACTCATAATAAATAGAAAATAGAAAATAAAAATTTAAATATAAGCAGCACAGTCAAGGATTGATCAAGCCAGATGTGAACAAAGCTGGACCCAAAGGCTGAGAGGAAGAGAAATAATTCTGTGGATTGGTGAGATTGAAGAGCAGCAAGGGCTCGGAAGGAGCCAACCCGGGGTGGGGGGGGGACCCGGGCTACTGGCCTCCGTGCCTTTGGTCTGGGCTGAAAATAAATGCTTCTGTTAGAATCTTTTGCTTTTTGGTACCGTTGTTTTAAGTAGCTACATACAACCCGTAAGTACACTAAGCGGCGGCATGTAGAACGCGCCGTGGGAGCTCAGGGGACAGTCCCGAGCAGCTGGGTGACAGGCCCGGCCTCTCCAGGCCCTGCCCGGCTGGAGGGTCAGACCCGTGCGGGACCCACTTCTGTATCTCAGACATTCTTAGCACAGTGCCTTGTACAGCGTGGGTGCGGGACACACCCCGGTCACACGGGTGTGCGTGAGTCATGCGTCCCTCGGCAGGGCCGGGTGAGAAGCATGAGAAGGCACGTGGAGGTAGAGAAGCAGGAGAAAATGCTCATATATCCGCTGAGCGACTCCAGGCCCCTCCCTGAGTTATCAGGATGGATGGGTCACTGTATGCGGTGTCTCAGGGTAACAGTACTCACCTACCTTTTGTTAATGCTCATGGAAATGTGAAAAGGGTGGTGTGAGTTTTGCACCGGTACAACGGTTTGGTGTGCAAGTACAGAGCTCTGTTTCTGTGCCTCTGAACTTGAGTTCCTAAGCCCCTATTTCTGCTGATGGCAAAAAGATCGTTCCAGGTCCATGTCATTTAACCACACTTAGAGTTTAAAAGTGGGCAGTTTGAGATTTAAAATCAAGTAATTCAAGACCACCCCTCCCTTCTGTTTTACCTGCGTCTCAGTCACCCTTCTGGTGAGGCAGGGATTCTGCCCTAGGTTTACGGGGATGCTGAGCACCTGACAGGAAGCAGCAGACGGACCTGAGCGGCACGTGGGCTCAGCCCCGGGGAGGAGGACGCTCGTGCCCTTCGGGGCGCGGGGATGCCCGTGGGGACCGAGTGAGCACCACGGGCTGAGAGAGGCCGGCCTCTATCAAGAGGGAGTGGTGCCCACTGGTTGGTTCACTTGAACGGTTCTGTACTGACAGCTGAGACCAGCACGCAGGGGCAGCAGAGGTGGGTGCCTCTGATAAGGAGGGCGGTCTGACCAGAGGACCTTCTCCGTGGGAGCGGGTTCCAGGCCCTCCTGACTTTGCCAGCTGTCAAGGCAGCATGTAACACCGCGCCTTAATTCTAAGCCTTGGACCTCTTCTCCTCTTTCCCCTCAGAGGTGATCCCAGCTCCTGGGGGCCTTACAGTCAGCCCAGCAGGTGAAGAGGGCAGCCACCTCGCTTTTTGTTGTGGGTTAGCTGGTCCCGCCCCAGCTGTCCCCCGGTCGGCCTGCTGCTCGGCACCCCACCTGGACACCCCTGTGTGGGCGCTCCAGCACCCCTCGGGCCTGTCCCCAGCACTCTGATTGTCCGCGAGCCTCTGGGAGGCCGCCTCATTTGATCAGTGCTAACATCCCCCTCCGTCACTGCCTGTCTCCCTCCTTTGGTGTTTGCTCTGTGTGAGACGGGCTGAGCCCGCGGACGACGCAAACAAACTGTCCTTCTGTCCCGGCCTGGTCTTACCTTCCCCCCAGCTTGTCCTGTGTTAGCATCTTTTCTTAGCATCTTTTCGAGACCTAAGTTCTAGAAACAGTCTTTCGTGCTTGCTAAACTCCTATTTCCTTTTGAGCAAGAAAGTCAGTGTAATTTATCATGCACACTTCCTTCTCTACAATTTATGGTATAAATTTCATGCTCTGGGCTTCAGGGTTTCTGGTTCTCGATATGCAGAGCCAAGTTTTGTTCAAAACAAAACCGAAAGCTTTCTCTCTCAAACCCCAGGCTCTTATTACTTAATTTAAAATTCGCTTTTACCTATCAAGACTGGTTGTCTTAGCTATTGGTTTAAAATAATCGATTCAGTGAACGATCTATATCCTTGTTCTAGAGTTGCAGTTGAATGATCCAATACAGTAGCCACGTGTGGCTATTTAAACGTTTTAATTAATATTGGTCTAGGTGAAGTAAAGTTTAAAATTCAGCTCCTCAGTCATAGCAGCCACATTTCAGTTCCCTGAGAGCCGCGTGTGGTTCCAGTCAGACGCAGACCATTTCCGCGCCGTGGAAAGTCCTACGGGACGGTACTCAGCGGAGGTGTGTCTGCCTTCCTCTGGAAGGCTGGGAACTGTAAGAGCGAGAGGCACTGTGCACAGACAGCGGACGAGGAATGAGTGGCTGAGGAGGGAACCTGTGTATGTCTCAAGAAGTATCTTGGTACAGGAACTCTGAAGAATGTTTTGAGCTTTAGAAGTTTAAGTTGCTGCTTTTAATGAGATCCCTTCCTTTGTTTTGGTAGAAGAACTTCCTTGGCTGCTGGAAATGCGCCTGCCTACCGGTCTGTCACAGACGGCATGAACCACGGCTGACGCCCCTGAGCAGCTCTCTCCCGGAGCGTGTGTGCTTCCCGGCTCAGCCTGCCCCAGCCACTCAACCCACAGAGCCTCCAGGTGTGTCGAGATGTATTTTTGTACCTATGAAAGGTGTTGTGCATTCATCACTTTGTTTCCCTTTGGGCTACGTTCTGCGGGGGCTCTCCATGCTCTGACGCCCTGTGCTCTTGGCCGGCCTCTGCACTCACGCCGCACAGCTGTTGGGGCACCTGCTGGGCTGCTTTTTCTAGTCAGGGTCTTGCCTCCAAGCTGTGCAACAAGCTGACTGGGGCCACGGCTTACCTGCTCACAGCTGGTAGAAAAACCAACACTTGCTCTTTTCCATTTAATAGATAATAATAGTTACAATACATAAATCAGGTCAGCAGCTGAGCGCCGAACAGCCCTGGTTCCAACCTGTGTTATCATCGAGTGTAATTCTGGCAACTATTTTTGCTCCTAGGCACAGCAATATTACCCACCCTCTGCAGCTGAAGAATTTAAGGTTCAGAGGTCACATTGCTGGGCAGGCATGGCAGCCCTCGGTCACAAACTGTGTTACCTATGGCTGCATTACACATTACCCCAAAACTCAGCAGGTTCGAACCCTCACTACCTCGGATAGTTCTGAGGCCCAGGAGTCTGGGAGCAGACTGGCTGTGCAGTTCTGGCTCGGGGCCTCTTGTAAGGCTGCTGTGGAGGTGTCAGTCTGGGCTGTGGCCACCTCAGGGTCCCAGGGGAGGAGAGGCTGCCTCCTCGCCCATTCGCAGGGCTGCTGACAGGCGTTGGAAGATCCCATCCGAGCTTACTCACGCGGGCTTCTCTGCGGGGCTTCCTCGCCGCCTGGCCGGTGGCTCCCCCAGGGTGAGCAATTCAAGGGAGAACGCAAGACGGAGCCCACAGCCCTTTTAGTGCTGATTTCAGAAGTGACATACCATCACTTTTGCCACGTACTGTACATTGGAAGTAAGTCTCTAATTTCAGGCCACACTCAAGGGGAGAAGAATGAAACCCCACCTCTTAATGGGAAGAGGATCAAAGACTGTATGGACAGATCTTTAAAACCACCTCACAAGCCCAGTTCTTTTGACTCCAAAACCTCCAACTTGATGTTTTGATGTTACAAAGTGAAGTAATGCCAGCATCATCCCCGTGTAGTCCCACACTTCTGCCTTCCCTGGATACAGGGCAATGACCCTTGTTCCAAGTCTGAGCCCTCGTTCAGGCCCAGAAGGCAGCGTAGGTCATGACCGGCTGGCCTGTTTTTGTGCCTTCGGGTATTGCCTAATTAGGTAGCCGCAGGTGTCCTGGCTACCTGCTACCTAAATCACTTCTAACTCTAGGACTTGCCTGAGGCCAGTCCCAGGTCTGGGAGTGGGGATGGGGTCAGATGAACAGGCCCACTATGCTCATGGCTATGTATGGAATCACAGGGAGTAGATGCCTTGACTGCCAGACAGCGTTGTAGAGAAGACAGAGGCCCATGTGTTAACATTGCAGCATCGATTTTGAGTTGTTCCCTAAAACTGGAACACAATGGTAAGGGACAAATTTTTAAGGTTCTTAATATTGAGAACATTTGAGGAAGTTTATTTTTGTTGATTATAAACTCTGAAGTTTTGAGTAACCTTCTATGTTTAACTACGTTCTGAAAAATTAATTTAAAAAAGATCATTACTCTGTCTTCTAATCATCAAGGACTCTCCATCAAGAGCTATTCCTATGTAATAAATAGATCATCCCAGTGTTTTGGGGTGCAGACACAGACATCCTGCACACACACAGATGCCTAGTACTTACCGACACAGTACAGCATTGTCATGTTTATTATTTGGTTCTTTTAGGCATTTGTGCTATTCCCTTGGAGAATATTGCTGGAAGATGGGGGACCGTTTCCGGTTATAAGTGGCTGTCCAGATACCCTAGAATATGATATGCAGGTAGGTCAAGTCTTCCCACTGGTCAGAGAGGTGCGGGCAGACCGCAGAGTGGGCACCTGCATCTGAGGGCCAGACCCTCCACACCCTGGCTGGGGGTGACTGAGTCAGGAGGTGAGCAGGGCAAGCGTGAAGCTGTTAGCCCAGTGCAGCAGGAGGGGTCGCATCTCCTCAGGACAGGGGGCAGTTGGTGGCAGCTAGGGGGCCTCTGCTGTGGACTTAGCTGAAATTCCCACGGCCAGGCCTGACCGAAGGGTGGCCCAGCACCCTGGATGGACAGTCCTGATGGACTCCCAGGCTGCCGGCTCAGAGATGCCTGCCTCCCAACCTGCCTGCAGCGGTGGTGGGAAGAGAACTCTTCAAGTGGGACCCACAGGGAGAACTTTTGATTATGTGTCTTAACCCTGATTATTTAAGCAAATACTATTGGATTTTCATCTTTAAAAATAGAAAATATAGAAAAGTATTAAGAACAACATGAAAATCAATTACAAATTTGCTTCAAAATAACATGCGGGTGGAGGGGGTAGAGGGGGTGGGGGCAGGACTGGCCGTAGGCTGGTGGTCCACAAACCTGGGTGACGGGGCCTGTTCTGTTTGGTTTTGTACGTGCTCAAAATTCTCCTTAAGTCAAAAGTTTTTTTTTTTAATGAAGATAGTTAAGAATGGTTTGAAAAAAATCAACCACAGTTCCCCACTAAGAGACCATCACAGTTCACATTTTGATTTGTTTTTCCCAGTATTTTCCCTGAGCACACATGTGTTTGTTTCTATACTTTAAGGGAAAATCGATGTCACACTATGCATTCAGCACGCACAGACCTCACCTCACTGTTAGGGCTGCGGAATTTGGACTTCCATACAAACCAGAAGTCTGATATGTTCATGGAGGACTTTGAGCTACAAATGTCACTCTGATTTTTATGGATTTTTTTAATGGTTGAGAGGTCAGGGCTTGTAACCAGAATTAGTCGTAGTGTTCTCCTGCGAGGCCATGTGGAAAAGATACACAGATGTCTTCAAAATGGGTGTTTTTGTTTTGTTTTGTCTTCTTTTGTTTTCAGCTGTGCCTCTGTAGGCTGAGTGACTGTGACCTGAAGGTAGCTCATGGGGAGCTCGTGGGCCTCCACCTGCTCATGGACACCGTACTTCTGAGCAGCTCTCCTGTGATGGTGGAGGGGCCCCCAGGACCGCAGGCCACACTGGGCAAGAACACACAGCTATTCCTGGCCAAGAGTCTGTGTGACCTGCCAGCGCTGTGCGGGCCTGGAGGACTGTCCTGCCGGAGGTGGAGCAGACATCTGTCCCCAGCCTCTCTGGTGAGTCCCAGGACCACCAACGCCACAGTGGAGCAGCGGTGGTCTGTGAAAGCCACTCCGAAGTATTTTCTTTCATGATGTGTCCCACGATCAGTGGTTTATCCATTGCCTTTCATTTAAAGAATACAACAAGGGTTGTGGGAGACCCATTGAAAGCAGACGTAATAAATATGGCAACCGGCTGCTTTTCCTTGTGAGTCACACATGTAGGATCAGAATTGGAAGGGCCCAGGGGTGAAGATAGAGGTTCCAGGTGGGCCTCTGCAGCCCGGACTCCCTTCTCCACCACGCAGCAAACCTTTGGACCCCCAGGCAAGTCCCTCTGAAGTGCTAAGGGACCTAGAGCCCTAGCCCACCTAAGATCCTAACTTGACATAATTTTGTGCGTCTCTGGGAACCAGACAGGGACCTGCACCAACCTGAACGGCCTCCTTCCAGCCTCATTTGGAAAGGTTAATACACTTCTCTGATCTAAGTTGTGGCTGCGGCTAGTGGGACAACCTGTCACTTATAAACAGGTGCACCCTAACTGGCATAGAGGGGCATCGGCTCAAAAGTGGAAGATCATAGTTCAACCATTGTGGAAAGCAGTATGGAGGTTCCTCAAAATGCTCAAAATAGACTTACCATTTGACCCAGGAATTCCACTCCTAGGAATTTACCCTAAGAATGCAGCACTCCAGTTTGAAAAAGACAGATGCACCCCTATGTTTATCGCAGCACTATTTACAATAGCCAAGAATTGGAAACAACCTAAGTGTCCATCAGTAGAGGAATAGATAAAGATGTGGTACATATACACAATGGAATATTCTTCAGCCATAAGAAAGAAACAAATCCTACCATTTGCAACAACATGGATGGAGCTGGAGGGTATTATGCTCAGTGAAATAAGCCAGGCGGAGAAAGACAAGTACCAAATGATTTCAGTCATATGTGGAGTATAAGAGCAAAGAAAAAACTGAAGAAACAAAACAGCAGCAGAATCACAGAACCCAAGAATGGACTAACAGAGGATCCAAGCCTAATTTGGCTACCCAGAAAACGAATTAAGATACAATATGAAGAACTTCCAACATCAACATCCTCTGGAAGAGTCATTCCAGAAGATGATCATCGAAAAACATCAACAAAGATCCTTGCACTGCTGCAGTCGTAGCTGCATTCATCCCACCAGTTCCTGGACTTGCCATTGGAATGAAGAAGGAGATATCTAAGCTGACCTGCGCATACAGTAAAACAATAAATTTGACTGGATCTATACTGTCGGAACTCAACCAAGAATTAGGAGAAGTGCAAGTTGCAGCGCTCCAAAATCATGCAACTATAGACTATCTACTGTTAAAAGAACATATGGGATGTGAACAGTTCTCAGGAATGTGTTGTTTTAATTTGTCTGATTTTTCTCAAACTATTCAACTTCAGTTAGACAATATCCATCATATCATTGGTTTTCACAAATGCCTAGGGTACCTAACTGGTTTTCTTGGTTTCACTGGATATGGCTGGTAATTGTAGGTCTGCTTTTGTTATGTAGCTGTATTCCTATTATGTTAATGTGTGTGCACAATTTAATTAGTAGTTTGTTAAAACCTATACATGCTTATGTTACTCTACAAGAAGATATGTCAAAGAAATAATCAATCTTCCCATGTTTTCTTCCGTCTGCTACATCTATAGCTTCTCTTCTTCCTTCCTAATTACAGCCCTTTAGTAGAATTCGTGCCTCATATAGAAAATTACCAAGTATCATAATTCCTCCAAGTGGTAAAGATACCTTGAGACAAGTGCTGGGCATAGAAGCCACAGGGCATAAATCTGCAAAGAAGTAAAAAGCTAACCTTTTCAAACAATATGGCTTCTCTCTCACTTACCAACTTTACATTTCCCTGTATGGCCCCAGAAGATGACTGGTTAGCCAGAGACGGGTAAGATTCCTCAAGGGAGGAACAACCTAAGACAGGCACAGTCGCAGGGGGGCCATCAGGTGAGAAATTGGGGATCAACAGAGGTGAGGCTCAGAACCTCACCCCCCCTGCTTTGAGAGAAATCTTCTGCATCCGTGGATGTCTTGCTGCCCTTGTCTAGCCTGGATTAATACTTAGTCCATAGGCACACACCTGATCATCTGATCATCTACATTTGCCCTCTTACAGCACTAAACTATGTTTTCTACCTTTATCTTGCATCTACCTACCACTTCAGCATTTTATTAAAAATAAAAATAATAATAATAATAGGAGAAATGTGGGATCAACATATAAATCAAGTACAAAAATCAAATGAATATTCATATTTGACCTGATGGTTTATAGGTCATATTGCATGATCAAAACCGAAAGTTTCTGTGATGAATGCCCTTGTACTGTTCACCATGTAAGAATTTATTCACTATGTAAGAATTTGTTCACCATGTAAGAACTTGTTCGTTATGCTTCAGAAGATTGGAGACTGTTGAGAATTAGGCTTGAGGTTGATTAATGATTGTGCATTGAGTCCCCTATACAGAATTTTATTGTTGTTAACAACCATTTGATCAATAAATGTGAGAGATGCCCTCTAAAAAAAAAAAAGTGGAAGATCAGAAAAAGCTTCCAAAAGAGGTTTGAAACCCAAAGGACAGGTTAGGCATTAATCAGAAGATGGAGTAGAGTGGGAGCAGGCGGGCTCCTGCCGGAGGGACCGGCTCCTGTGCAGGCACTGGGGAAGGGCACGCTGCTCTGACAAAATGGGGGAAGGGAGGGCAGAGATATTGGCGGGGGTCAACTTGTGCAGGTCTGGCTAAGGCACCAGGAAATCACTGGGCAGAATGTTCTGTGTATCTGATAGGTCCATCTGGCCTGAGAATCTTGTTTAACACCAATGTTTCCTTAACTGATTTTCCGTATGGGCGATCTATTTATTGATATAAGTGGGATGCTGAAGAACCTATTACTGTGTTGCTGTCAATTTCTCCCTGTAAGTCTGTTGGTATTTGCTTCATATATTTTGGTGCTCCCTGATTGGGTACTGACATATTTACAAGTGTATCTTCTTGATGGATTGACACCCTTATCGTTACATAGATCCCCTCTTTGTCTTTTATCACAGTCTTTGTTTTAAAGTCTATTTTGTCCGATGGGAGTAGAGCTACACTGGCTTTCTTTCTGTTTCAGTTTGCATGGAATATATTTTCATCCCTTCGCTTTCAGGTGGTGTGTCCTTCCTTCTGAAGTGAGTCTCTTGTAGGCAGCACATAGATGGATCCTGTTTTGCTATGCATTCAGCCACTCTGTGTCTTTGGATTGGAAAATTTAGTATATTTACATTTAAAGTTGTTATTGATAGGTATATTTACTTATTGCCATTTTGTTACCCATTTTCTGGCTATTTTGTAGTTCCTTTCTGCTCCATTCTTCTCTTCCTCTCTTCTGTTGTTGTTGATGACTTTCTTTAATGTTATGTTTATATTCTTTTGTGTATTTACATAAGCTTTTGCTATGTGGCTACTGTGAGGCTCACGTATGTCATCCTACATATGTAACAATCCATTTTAAGTTGATAGCCACTTAAATCTGAATATGTTCCAAACCACTATGTTTTACTCCTGTGCCATTTTATGTTTTTGATATCACATTAAAACATCTTTTTATTACATCTTTTTACTTTATGTATCCCTCAATTATTGTAGTTTTATTTTAATTTTACTACTTTTGTCTTTAATCATCATAGTAGCTTTATAAGTGATTAACCCACTACCTTTTCTTTATATTTATCTTTTCCAGTGAAATTTTTACTTTCATGTTTTCTTGTTATTAGTTCGTGCTATCTCTGTTCTGGCTAAAGAAGCCCTTTTGACATTTCTTGTAAGGCCAGTTTAGTAGTGATGAACTCCTTCAGCTTTCAATTGTCTGGAAAAATCTGTCTCTCCTTCAATTCTTGCGGATTAGAGTATTCTTAGTTGGAAGTTTTTCCTTTCAGCCCCTCCTTTCTGGGCTGCAAAGTTTCTGCTGAGAAATCTGCTGATAGCCTGTGGGATTTCCTTTGTATGCAACAGTTTGTTTTTCTCTTGTTGCTTTTATGATTCTTGCTTTATCTGTAAATTTTCATACTTTACTTATAATGTGTCTTGGTGTGGATCTCTTTGGGTTTACCTCGCTTGGAATTCGCTGGGCTTCCTGGACCTAGATGTCTGTTTTCTTCCCTAGGGTAGCGAAGTTTCTAGCGTTATTTCTTCAAATCAATTTGCTGCCCCTTCCTCTCTCTTCTCCTTCTGGAGCCCCTGCAGTGTAGATTTCACTCTGCTTGGCGTTGTCCTATGGCTCCCTTAAGGTCTTTGTCTTCAAAGACTTTTTCTTACTTTTTCACCGCTCTGCCCTGGGACGTCCCTTGTCTGTCTTGCAGCTCACGGATCTGTCCTTCCGCCCCATCCAGTCTCCTACTGACCCCTGCCAATGTATTTTTCAGTTCAGTTATTGCATTCTTCAGCTCTGAGGCTTCTGTTTACTACTTTCTTGTATTTTCTGTCTCTCTGTTAAATTTCTGTGTTTATCCATTCTTCTCGCAAGTTTGCTGGGCATCTTTATGATCTTCGAATCTTTATTGGGTAGATTACTTATCTCCACAACATTAAGGTCTTTTTCTGTGGTTTTGTCTTATTCTTTCATTTAGAACTTCTTTCTCTGTTTCCTCATTTTGCTTGATTCTCTGTGTCTGTTTCTATGAATCAGCCCAAACAGCTCCCTCTCCGTCTTACAGAAGCGGCCTTGTGCAGGTGAGGAACCTTTTCGTTCAGCCTTGCCCTGGCTCTTGGCCGTCTCCTGCACCTTTGTCTGAACCTACCCAGTTCATTCTTGATGTGCCCCGTTGTTGAGGGTGTGCAAGACCTGTCAGTGTCCCAAGGGGACGAATATCCTTTAGCAACTGGTTTCAGGACAATCAGAAGCCAGACCCTCAGACAACAGCTTTTAAAGTATGCAAATATATGCAGTCCTGTGGGGCTACAACCGTACCCCTGCTGGCCTTCAGACCAGAGATCTGGAGGTGGCCTCTGGTGACAGTTGTAAAATTTAAGACTCCAGACAAGTGTCTAAGCCCCCTTCCGGGAAGCCTTGCAGAGCCGTACCAAGGCCGAGCAGGTGCACGAGGATGATGTCTCCCTGTTCACGTCCTGGGCCCAGGCCCAGCCTCTAGATGGGTGAGAAGGAGGACGCTTGCCCCAGGAAGCTCCAGGCTACATGAACAGGCCTCCTTCATTGGGTGACTGGGCTTGTGCTTCAGCCTGCTGTCTGTGTGGTGCCTGGGTGGGGGCCTGCCAAGAGCTATCTTTCCAAGTGGAGCTCAGAAACACCAGCACGTTTGGCCACCAGGGCCAGGCGATCAGGGGCCTTCCCTGTGTGGATCGCCTGCACGCACTGGTTTTTGTCAGCCACCGAGAGAGTGGAGGGAACCGGGAACGCAGCAGAGGAAGGCCATGTCTGTGTGCACACGCCAGGTGGGGAGCGGGAGAAGGCCACGGCCGCTCAGGGCCACCGGCCCCCCGCCCCGCCCTGGCCAGCGTTAGCTAGGGAGCAGGGGCGTCCCTGCGGCCACTCGTCCTGCCGCCCCAGGGAGGGAGGGTTGGGGTGCTGCCGGGGCCACCTCTCCGGCTTCAGGGAGGCACAGAGCCATGACTGCTCTCCCGCCCCCCAACCTGCCTCTCTCAGCAGGACCCAGGGAATGGGCTGTGTGCAAACTCACCCACCGAGGCCTGCAGGGTAGGCGGGTGTGCGAACCTGGTGTCCCCGGGGAGTCTCAGCTGTCCCCTGCCCTCCAGCAGATGTTTCAGATCAGCAAATGAATCTCCTTTACATATAGCCAGGTGCTTTCCAAACTGCTGTTTTTTCACTGGGTCTGGGGGCCAGGGAGGCTGCATGCGAGCCCTTTAGGAGTGGCCCCCTGGGGCTCTGTGATCAGAGGGGCCAGCTACGTGGCCTGTAGGTGACCCCCTCCCCACCACCATGTTCTGCTTTGGTCTGTTGGATATTTCTAGCCGCTGCATAAGATTTACTTTGATACAAAGGTTTCTGAGGATAGAGTAGATCTGGACACGCATGGCTGTGCTGATGTTTGGGGGGTGAGGCTACAAGGCTCAGAGGTCATGAGCTGCCTGGAGTTGCTCACTGCTGGCCAGCTCCGGGCCTGACCAGCCCTCCCTCCAGCAGCCACACCTTTATGTAGATAAGCTAACAGCCCTGATCTAGGATCCAGTTACACCGGGCTGTTCTTCCGGCTCCAGGCCAGGCAACCTGGGTGTCCAAGGTGCTGTCACCTGAACACCCTGCTCTTCCTGACATCATGGCCGGATCTGCCACCTTCACCTGCAGAGGAAAAGCCCCCTTTCCTGCACCGAGATGCTCTCGTCAGGCTGAGGGCCTGGACGCAGGGCCCTGTTCTGTCTGTCGCCCTCTGGGTGAGCCCAGCCCTCTCACCTCTGGCTGTAGGAGAGCGGGGACCTGAGCACCTATTCCCTCCACAGCCCCCCAGGGCTCAGCCCTCAACCAACACTGAATTAAGGAAAGTGCCAATGAATGAATGAACAAATCATAATTTTAAAATAAAATTGCCTATTGAATAGTAAGTTCAAATCCAGTCATGTTGTCTGCCTAAGTTCTAAAGGATGTGAGAAGGGATAGGAAGTAGGTAAAACATCCCACTTTAAGAAGAACATCCAGGAAGTAGGTGAAACCCTCAATTCAAGGTTATGTTGTAGCTGTGCCATGATCGGGAATTAAATCTCGCATGTGCTGAAGAGCGCATTTCCAGAATGCAGAGGCTAACCAGGAAAGGCTCAGGTTTTCCAAGGCCGATAAATGTTAGCACCCAAATAAAAGAGTTTTCATGAGTGATTTAGGCTCAGGCAGAAAGCTGCAGCAGAGCCATTCCCCTGCTTTCCGCATACTGCCTGACCCTGGAGGTACCACCCCCTCGGCTCTGCCAGCCCTCCCTCCTGGGGAAAAAATCATTCCCCAAAGACGTCATTCTGCGTGGGCTGCCTAGAAAGGGTTGTTCTGCGCTGGTCCATCATCAGTAAGGAATTTCTGTGATGCTCTCAGCTAGGTTTGCCCGGAGTGCCAGGATGCAGAAGTCAGCACCAAAGCAGCCCGAAGGCCTGGACGCTGCTGGGAGGCCGGCGTGATGCCCTGACGTCCGTCGCTTTGCTGAGATCGTTTCTGGTGCTGTGGAAGCAGCTGGAGGTGCTCAAGGACCCCTGGGGCCGACTCAGGCTGCGAGGCTGGGACATGGATCCCGTCTCCTTCCACAAACAGTTCTCAGAGCTCTATGAGTGCATGGTGCTCACGTGGAAATTTGCGTGACCCAGGGAAACCTGGGGTCTGGCAAATTCCTGCCCCTTGCTCTGAGGGTGAGATGTGGTCCATGAATCCTGGTACGCCCAGCCCCACTGAGTCCAGAGGAAGCCGGCCACCGTTCTCCACAAATGGCACTTTACAGGAGAAGCTGGGCCTTGGCTGCAGGGGCAGGACTGGACTCCATGAAGCTGCCCTGGCATCGTACATACGAGCTCTGTGCCTGGGAGCATGTGCTTCTGCGGCGTCCCCTAGCGCTGGCTCTAAGCACTCAGTCTGCAGGCGAGGCCTGGGTGGGCAGCTGCTGGGGTGAGCTCCTCCACACCCCCGGACTCTCGGCCCCATTAGACCAGGAGCTGAGGCTCTGGAGCGTCATCAGTGCGGCCAGACGGATAATACGGTGCAGGCTGGGGGCAGCTTCTGCAGTTTCAAGCTGGGATGACTTGCTGGTAGGAAAGACACACAGCTTCCACCATGTGTCTGTTGGCACCTGACACAGGGGAGTTAACTGGTGGCCCTGTCTGAACTGTCTGTCCTGGGAGTTATTTCAGTCAGCTTTCCTGGTAACTAAGGAACAAGAGACATGTCAATCTTGTGAAGAATGAAGACTGAAATTAAGTGTACCACCTGGAAAAGGCCTCAGGGTTTCCTATTTCCTATCGACTGGGGGAGGGGGCAACTGTGTGAATGTGGGTGTCCATGTGAGAGTCTGTGCTGGGTGGGGGGATTGTGCAGATGACGGGAAACAGAACATGAATGCAATGATTGGCACAGAATCTGAATGAGAAAAAATATTTGCTCATTTCTGTCTGCCTTCTTTTGTAGAGCGAACATTCTCTATCCCAGCATGAGAGCTACAGCCCGGCTGATGGGGAAAGAAGGTGAATTTGAAGGACTCCTAATAAGTAGTCAGTCTATTCTTCCCCCCAGAGGAGCTTCAGAAATCGAAATAAAAACTCAGCAGGTATGGAGAATTTAGCTTTGGATGCGTGCTTTTTGGAACAGATGTAAAACGACAGATATGCCCCAGGGGTGTTTTCCGAACAGGTTAATGTAAATTGAAGGTGGGTAAATTAGTGAGCAGGCCCAGAGGGAAGTGAGTATTCAAAGGCACACGGGGCTTTCTTTAGCCAATAACCACCCCTCAACGTCGCAGTTCTCTAAGCCTAGGGAATATTTTCATATTTCATAAAAATATGAAAATATTTTTATTTTCCTCAAATGAAGGTGCAGCACCACTAAAAAGAAAACATAACCACTACACGTGAAGATGGAACCCTGCACACGGCTATGGAGATGGAATGTTTGACGCAGCCCCTGCATTTGCTTTTCTGGCAGCGCGTCACTCTGTGTACGTGCCAGTCGTTGGGTGTGTGCTCCGGGATGCCCGCCCTCTGAGCCTGCCGCCTCCTCTGTCCCAGGGCTGAGCCCACACGGAGCTGTGGGAAGAGGCAGGGCTCACGGCTGCTGGAAGTTTTCTCTTCATTGTGTAGAGTTTTCACTCTTGTTGTGAAATCCTCCTTGGGATCTGATCGAGTTTCAGAGTTGAGGGCTTCTCTTATAATAACAGCTCACAAAGTTCCTGGCCGCATTTAGAGACCCCCAAAACACATGAGGTCACCCCAGACATTGAGCACTTTGCAATTTAGCAGAATTCGATTTTTAAAAAAAGTTGTATTTTATTGATCAGGATATGGGCCAGAAGAAAAGGTGCTGGTCTCCGGAGAGGTGTGTCTGCCCCACAGAAGCACACAGGGATCCAGAAGGGAGCCCCCCACCTCTTCCCCTCCCCAGAAGGGAGCCCCCCATCTCTTCCCCGGGAGGGAGCCGCCGAAGGACAGGACCTGCCCCAAGGCCCTTGCGCAGGAATTTGACTTAGGGGTCCAGAGTGTAAGCTGAGTGTAGAGAGTGACTCTCCAACTGCTTATTCTAGCTTCAGAAACTTCTGGAAAGTCTTGAAATTCATATGATCCAGGAGATATTAAGAAAAGATCACAGAGAGAAAACACTGGTTGTTTCAGAAAAGTCCAAGGAGCAGTGTGCTCTTCCTACAGGTAAAGTGTGTTTATTTTTTCACAGTAACACATTTGTTGTCTTTCCCTTACTGTAAAAGCAATCCATGTATCCATATTCATGGTAAAAAGCCCTGCAACACCCAGAAAGTGATGTAAAAATTATTTTTGACATCTTGGCCCAGAGAGCAGTACTATTAACACTTTGGTACATTTCTTACCACTTAAAGGGCTTTTAAACAGAGAACATGTGTTCACTTCGGCCTCAACTCTGCTGATAAACTCATCACTAAAAGTTGAAAGATGAACTCATAACTGAAAGCTTCAACTTCCTGAAATGGGGGAAACACATAAAGCCTTACTCACTTGTTACATATGCAAGAATATATAACACAAATATATGACTTAATGTGTCGAAATCATACATATGCATATATTTTGGGTGGGAATCTTTCACCTGAGGTCTAAAGTGTTTCACCTGAGGTCTAAAGTCAGGGTCACTTCTCAGACCATCACCCAGGTCTCGGGGCACTTGGGGCCTCATGATCCGTGGGCACCATCCTGAAACCCTCACTTCTAAAGGAGAATTTGTTTTGTAAGGGGAGCCCCTTGAGCCAGTGGAGGCTGACCAGGGCTTGGACGGGGCTCACACAGGCCCCACCTCCTGCCGCCTCCACCCCAGCAGGGCCTAGCATGGCGAGGTCTGTAGGGGTCACGTGCCTGGCGGTGACTCGGGACCCGGGCTGGCAGCACCCGGTGTGTGTGATGGGTGGCTTGGAGGGGTCAAGCTTGCCATCGGTCCCAGGAGACCTGTAATACCCCAGGCAGAGCTTCAGCCCCCCGGGGGCCGCTTGTCCTCGGTGGTTGGGGGCGATAGGCCGTGGGGAGGGAGAAGCCTGGTTCAGTTTCTCTGCCTCCGGCCAGGGCGCCGGGTATCCCCGGTAGCTGGTGACCAGGGGCTCTAAGTGCCCCGGGGGGGTCCCCCAGTGCCTCCGAGGGTGGAACTTGCCCTGTGGGTGTTCCCATGGCCCAGGGAGACCAACATTAAACAAATAAAAACACCGGGCCGGGTCAGACACAATGCAAAAGGCAGGGAGAGTTGGGACTTTTATACCTATCGCGGCTGTTTTCCCCGATTTTTTAACAAGAACTTGCCTTTTTTCTTTGCACAAGGACCACAGATGATGTGGTGGTCCTTTCTGAGCTGCAGTGGCCGCTCCTAACCCCTAATTCTGCAGGAAAAATCCACAGCCCTGGAGCCAGAGGAACTGTCTTGACTGGCAAAATAAAGTAGGCTTTCCTTCCGAGACCAAGTCCCCAGACGTGGGGCTTTTCTCACCGACACTGACCTCCGCCGAGGCGGAGACCTTGTCGCCTCACCGGCGCTTCGGGGAACTGGGCTCTGTCCGGAGGCTTGGGGAAGAGGTGCCCGGGGGGCGGGCCTCCGCAGGCGGGCGGCTGAGCTCCAGGCCCGCGCGTGTAAGGAGGCCCCCGCCGCGTTCCAGGGCTGGGGGTCCGCGAGACCCCCGGGAGGCAGGGCGGAAAGCGCCCGCTTTGCAGGCCCGGCCGCCGTGCTAGGAGCGGGCCTTGGGTGGGGGACGGGCCGAGGGCCCAGCGGGCGGGTGGCACAGGGGCCCGCAGAGCTCGTGCTGGTCGGCGCCCCGGCTTGTCCCGCCGCCGCTCCCGCCTGTTTGGCAGACTCGGTGTGCAGGCCCGGGTCTCCTGTTCTGATGGAGGCCCCGCTGGGTGCAGGAGTGTTTTTACCTACATTTCTTCGATGTACCCTTCCCCACCCCCGTGGGCTGGGGACCTTCAAAGAGGGCACAGAAACCTTGGGACCCCCACGCACCTACTGCTCCTCTGAGCAGCAGGCAGCAGCGTGGTGGCTGGGCTTCCACCCGGGGGCCTTTTTCATGCCCAGTCCAGCCTCGGGACATGAGTGGCTCGGGGACGGAGAGCACGGGGACCCAGGGGACGCCACGGGCTCCTGTCCCCCCCCGGGGCCTCCTCTGCCCCTGCCAGGTGATGCCAGTGTCTACATTTATACCTGCTGGAAAGGAAGCCTCCCCCCACCCCGTCTTGGGGTTCGAGCTTTCTGTGCAGCCTCTGGGTACCCCCTTTGTTCGGGAGCGTCTGAGCGCGTGGCAGCCACACCTGGTCCGGTGCTAATTCTTGGGGGTGGGGAACTGGCGCACCCTGAGGACTTCCAAAAGGGGGTTCCAGGCGCCCCGGTGCATCCTCAGGGCCCACGTCCGCGAGCCGGGCTCCTCTGACGCAGAAGGGCTCTGCTGCACCCCATCTGCGCTGTGTTGGCCCTGTAGTAATCTGTAATTGATTTTTAATTCTCTCTGAGCAGTTTGAAGGCCAGCAGTCTCCAAAGCGGAGTTTATCTCTCCCAGGGGAGTGGAAAGAAAATATTAGAACGTCTAAGTAGGTTAAGTCCACATGTAAGAAGTCACCTGTCACATGGAGGTGACCTGAAGTGGCTGTGAGGAGGCCATCCACAAGTGAATGCTAGGAAATAGTGGAGTTGACACTTCTAATTCCGGTTGCTTATCTCAGCCTCATAAAGTCAAAAAAGATAACGTAATCATATCTGGTAAGAAGTCAGACAAAAAATTGTGACGGGTCAAGGAACATTGGGGACTGTGGACTGAGATCCTTTCCCCTTGTTAAGGAGCCTCACCCCGGGCACATCCTGCTTTGCCAGGCCAACCGGTAACAGTCCTGCAGGATACGTATAAACATATATGTAAACATGTTGAAAGCAAGTGAGCAAAAAATGTTTTGCTTGAGGGAAGCCCTATCAAAGCCCTCCGGGAAGCCTGACGCAGACCAGCACGCGCCCAGCAGTGGGCCCGGGCACCGGTTCCCGACATGCTGCTGCAGTCAACCCGCCCCCCTGCGCCCACAGCCCAGGGCCACCTGTCACGTCCCATTCCCTGGGGGGCCCACACCAGCCAGGGCCTCACTACTCAGTCTTTGGGTGGCATGCTTATCGATCACGTTTTATTGACCATTGTTTGCTCCCAACTTGTTCATACCGGCTTTACTTGCCAGCTGGGCATCGGGGCTCTGGGGACAAGGGACGTACAGCACACTGCACTGTCTGCTCAACTCCTCTGTGAACCTAAAACTGCTCTAAAAAAGACACATTTGCATTGTTTATGGTCTTTAAGTTTCCTCTTCTTAAAAAGAAACAATAAACCAAAACCCACCACACACTGGAAATGGGAACCATGTACTACGCGTTACGGTTTATAGAAGAAACGCAGACAGAACTCTGAGGAGTGAGTGCACACAAAGAGAAGGCCCAGGCTTTAGGTTAGAAGATTGGCAAATGTGTGTATTTTTAAGATAAAGCATTTGAGATAGTACGTGTAATTTTTAAGCATTCTCTGGCTTAAAGGACTTCTCTTGATGAACCTGACTCTTAGTGTCAGTCCACTGGACGGGAGGATTTCTGCTGTTGTGCAGGCGTTGGGGGAGAAGGACTCTGCTTGTTTTTATCCCGGGAAGCTTGGAAACCTCCGGGTGAGGAATATTAAAAGGGCTCCTTTGCTCCAAGCCTTCCTGGGCCTCTGTTACCCCACCGTGCATTGTAAATATCCACGACAGAGACAGAGCGTGAGATGCCCTCGAAATCTGTCTGACCACAGAAACCCTTTCCTCCCCTTGGGAACATCTAACAACTCAAGGAACTAGTATTTTGGGGAGTGGTTTGAGGAACCCAGGAGTATAAAATACACATGCTTGAAGCAACAAGATTTCAGCCCACAGGCCTTTCGGGGCTCCCCAGCTGCTCAGGAAAACAGCTTTGACTGGCAGCTGCGCACCTTCAACTTTCAGTTCTGCCTGGCTTAGGACCCAGAAGCCGCTCAGGCCCAGAGAGCAGAGAACGGCCACCAACCCAGATGCTCCTTCCAGAGGGAAGAGGCTGCGGGGGCACAAGGCTGGGGGTGTTCAGAGAGGGAGAGAGGGGAGGGGGCCCCCCAGTCAGAGGACCTGGGAAGAAGGGAGAGGGCAGAACGAAACCCTCAATCAGCCCCCGGTGTGCTGTGGCCCTCCCTCCTCCGTGCCTCTGCCAGAACTGCTCCCTCTGAGGAAGCCCTGGCTGCTTGCACTGCAGACACGCCCAAGGAGGCCGCGCCACGTGGCCAGGAGCTGCTTCTGGGGGAGGAACTCCGCACTCCCTGCTTCCCCTGACTCCTGTCTGCAGAGGCAGGTGCATGTCTGAACGTGAGCCCGTGAGGAGGAGACTGGAGGGGCAGAGCTGCCAGCAGTCTGGAGAAGCACCTTCCCCGTCAGCCGAGCCCGGAGCTAAGCCCCAGACCAGCTCTGTGGGTCCCCAGAGCAGAACCGTGTGACGGACATGGACCCTCACCAGGCTTGTCCGTGAGCCAGAGACCTGCCACGGACGTGGCCTGGGAGAAGAATCCATTCTTACCTAATGTACACGAGCTCTGTCCTGTCAAGGCTTAGACTTGTGAAAGTCTTAAACATCTCAAGGAGTGTGAACTTCTAGGCACATCACTTCTTTGGGATTTCTCTTTGCTGGGACAGGGTGATGCGTCCACTCACCATTACTGTCCTAAGGGAAGAGCAGAATCGTATTTCTATGTTTATGATGGGAAGTAGCCAATTATAAGAGGAAATGTGGAATCCTGTTCTCAAACCCAGAGCCACCACGGCCAACGGTGAGGCTCCTGTGCTGTCACATCTGCATTCCCTGGAGGGCTGCGCTAGGCGCCTCCTCTTGTGGCCGCCGACTCCGGTCAGAAAAATGCAGGTGGGAGCCGGGAAGCGGGACCAAAACGAGAAACAGTGAGGGTGGGGCCTGACCCCTCTCCCACCGTGGGCGGCCAGCACCCCCACACAGAGAGGGGAGTGGGGGGCCTGGCCCCTGCTCCTGACCCCACGGCCTCTCTTTGCTTCCAGCCTCGCGTGGGGCCGCACACAGGGAAGCAGGCCCCACGCAGCCCGGCCAACACGCACGTGAGCCTCCCCGCTCCCCACGGGACTTTGGCTCTGTGGGCGTACTTATGTTGTCCAGCACTGTCATGCTATTTTTAAAACATTCATCTTTTTAAGATAGATGACAACATTCTCCTGGTGCAGAACTCAAAATGACATGAAAGTATATATATTCAGAAGCCCAGCTGCCACCACCGACCTGCTTCTGCCGCCCATGTAACTGTGACAAGCGCCCCCTTCCCCATAAGCCATAAGCCAAACACGGGACACTGCCTTTTGCGAAAGGAAAAAGCTTTATTGTGAGGTCGATCAGCAAGGAGAACGGGGGCAAAGCTCAAATCTCTGCCCTAGATGCAGAGAGATGCAGAATTTATCCAGAAGGTTTATGCAGAGTTGACAGAGTTCATGCATATTCAATGAGGCTGGTGAAATTAGCAGGAACTTACCCCAGCTGGGCAGGACCCACCTGCCCCTGGACAGGGCAAGTCAGCGGGCTGCTTCCTATGGTGGACACCTCCTTGGTAACCGCTGTTACTGTTTTAGTATATTTCCTTCCGAATTTTATTTATAACTTTTTTTATTCCCATACTTTTTTTTTTTTGGATGTTAACATACTTTATATATAGCAGGTTTTTTGAGGTATATTTTACATGCAGTAAAATCCACTCACTTTAGTGAGCATTTCTATGAGCTTAACAAATGTACACAGTCATATAACCATCCCATAAGAAGAACATTTCCAGAATTTCCTCATACCACTTTATACACAGCCTCTCCTCTCTCCAGTCTCTGGCCATCAGTCATCTGTTCTATTTCCCTATCATTTGCCATTTCAGGAAGAGCAGAAAAGTGGAATTAAAGAGTATGGAACATTTTGAGTCTGGTTTCTTTCACTTAACATAATAAGTTTCAGGTTTCTCAGTGGTTGTGTGTATCACTGGGTTTTTGTTGCTGAGTAGTATTCCATTATGGGTATATACCACTATTTGTTTTTCCTTTACCTAGCTGAAGTTCATTTGGATTAGTTCCAGTTTTTAGCAATTATGAATAAAGGTTCTTTAAACATTAAAAAAAAAGATATAATGCAAGTAAGAGACACACTGGATTTTAAACTAGCTGATTTATCATTTTACATTGATAACCTATTGAAATATTTTGACATATTTGCTGAATACTATTAAAATTAATTTTTCCATTTATTTTTACCTTTTCTAACATGGCTTCTGGAAAACTTAAAATTACATATGGGGTTCACCTCTGTGGCTCACATCCTTTCGGACAGCACTGTCTCAAAATAGCTCTTGGTGTGACATAATAGAGGTGCAATTATACATACAGCAGCAATTATATTACAATATGTAAATATATCAAACCAACAGGCTGTATACCTTAAATTTAGACAATGTTATATGTCAAATATTTTTCATTAAAAAAGGAAACCTCTTGGGTTTGTCCTAATCTTTCTGGCCTTGCTGCCGTCCAATAGCCTGTATCTCGCATCCCTTCACTCCTAGAATTTTACATTAGTCTAGGCTTTTTCCCTTCCTAATCTGTTCTGCACACCCTGGCCGAGTTTATCTGCCTATAACACAGCTTTTTTTTTTTT